CTGTCCAAACGTTGTCCTTCTGTCCAAACGTTGTCCTTCTGTCTAAATGTTGTTTTTCCTGTCCAAATGTTGTCCTTTTGTCTAAAAGTTTTCTTTCTATCCAAACGTTGTCCTTCTGTCCAAACGTTGTCCTTCTGTCCAAATGTTGACTTTCTATCCAAACGTTGTCCTTCTGTCCAAACATTGTCCTTCTGTCCAAACGTTGTCCTTCTGTCCAAATGTTGTCCTTCTGTCCAAATGTTGTCCTTCTGTCCAAACGTTGTCCTTCTGTCCAAACATTGTCCTTCTGTCCAAATGTTGTCCTTCTATCCAAACTTTGTCCTTCTGTCCAAACGTTGTCTTTCTGTCCAAACGTTGTCCTTCTTTCCAAACGTTGTCCTTCTGTCCAAATGTTGTCCTTCTGTCCAAACGTTGTCCTTCTGTCCAAATGTTGAATTTCTGTCCAAACGTTGTCCTTCTGTCCAAACGTTGTCCTTCTGTCCAAATGTTGTCCTTCTGTCCAAACGTTGTCTTTCTATCCAAACGTTGTCCTTCTGTCCAAACATTGTCCTTCTGTCCAAACGTTGTCCTTCTTTCCAAACATTGTCCTTCTATCCAAATGTTGAATTTCTGTCCAAACGTTGTCCTTCTGTCCAAACATTGTCCTTCTGCCTAAACGTTGTCTTTCTGTCCAAACGTTGTACTTCCGTCCAAACGTTGTCCTTCTGTCCAAATGTTGTCCTTCTGCCTAAACGTTGTCTTTCTGTCCAAACGTTGTCTATCTGTCCAAACGTTGTCTTTCTGTCCAAACGTTGTCCTTCTTTCTAAACATTTTCTTTCTGTCCAAATATTATCCTTCTGTCCAAACGTTGTGCTTCTGTCCAAATGCTGTCCTGTCCAAACGTTGTCCTTCTGTCCAAACGTTGTCCTTCTGTCTAAATGTTGTTTTTCCTGTCCAAATGTTGTCCTTTTGTCTAAAAGTTTTCTTTCTATCCAAACGTTGTCCTTCTGTCCAAACGTTGTCCTTCTGTCCAAA